ACTTTCACGAACAGCTGGATTTGTATCCATAAAACCAGATGCAATATTCCTGAAAAGTGAATTTGTATTGAAGACAACAAAAACAGTGACTAAAACCGCGGAAAACCACACTAATTTCCAATTTGACATTCCATAACATCATCGGTATACTTATATATATTTATATTTATTTGGTAGCGGCTAAATAAATATTTAATAGTTACAGTGACTGATATAAGAATCCTCAGTAGCAATCGGACGAAAATCCAAGCATAACGCATACATTCAATGGTACGTTGGCTGTGGAACTTCGTAATAGTTTGCTTAATTACAGCAATGAAAATGTAAATCATGAGAACAAGAGAATTTTGAGAATCGACTTACAAAAACCAACCCATATATCCGTTCGTTAATAATTTGAGGCGTTAAATGAGGTGTTAATTCGTCGATTCGTTCCAATAATTTTACTCGTGTTACACGATCCGGTGAGCTAAATAATTTACACAGGCAAGGCACAATACGGCGCTGATACTCGTCTTCATCCAACAGACGTCCCAAACGAAACAGTGGCATCAAAACATGTGATCCCGCATCGCCATATTCATAACTCTGTCATTTTAAGGAATCCAAAAAAGTTAGGAATTTATTTTCAAATAATAATTACTGAAAATAGATTAAATGAGTCGTGTACTGCAAATTGAGCAATAATATAATTGCAAGGTTGAAATCAGGTATTCCACTGTTTCTGATTATTTGGAAAGAAAAAACTGTAATGTTTTTTGAGATAATGTAAGGAAATACTGTCTACAATCTCTTAACAGTTGCAAATAATAAAGTATATAACATACATGTATTATTTTTGGAAGAATTTTATATTTGGCAATATTATCAGGAAAAAAATCCAATTCATTTTTCAACTCTGTGAAGAATGATTGCTTTTCATGAGCATCTTTTAGTTGAAATTCATCCAAAAACAGTAGCGTATCCACATATCGATTCTTGAAAAAGCCACCAGCCTGACGCAACTCTGAAATGTTTTCTGCATTGTAACATTGTAGAATTCGATCAATAATGGTAAAATGATGAACTAGTGTTGAAATGACCAGCGTCCTGACTGAATATGGGGAAAAGGTCTATTAATGTAATAAGATATGAACACAAACATGAGCAAAAACAGCTGCAGAAGAAATATGTCACTGATTTTTTTTGATTGTTAGTGGGAGTGCTAGGTAAAAATCGGAAAACCATAAAAAGAAAAACAATTGAAAACTATGAAAGAGTGCCTCTCAACAATTCCCCAATATCAAGTTTTGCTGCTCGATTAGTAGCCATCTTTTTATAATGTCCATGCAGTTGTTCAGGAATTTTTTTCGGTGCTTCCGGTTTCGTCACTGATTCATTGAAACCATTGAAAATTTCCCATGTAAGTAATGCGAATGAATTAAGATCAGTACGTGGACTACTAAAAACTGGCAAAGCTATTTACTGATGATTAATAAATTAAGTGAAATGCAGTGTAAAACGAATTTCAAAGAAGAAAAGACAGCATTTTTTAGTTGAACAGAGGAAAAAGTGTACCTGAAACTGGTTGATTTCTCAAAACCGCCAAGTTTCCAATCTCCACTTTCTGTGACGTAAACAGAATGCCGGATATTTTCATGACTTAATTCAGCTTCTTGATGCAAAAATTTCAAACAATTCTATAAACTATATAAAGGTCGGATGATTTTATTGTTATCGGTATAAGGACCACAACACCACGTTAGGCTGGTAATAATGGCCAAGGCTAAAGCATATTCAAGTACCAAACGAATAAAGCTGTGATACAGTTAATGGACCCCCGAAGCTCTGAACTCTGCTGTACTTTGCAGCTCACCCTAAATTTCTCAGAAACGCATTTCGGTATTTCCAAAAGTAATTATGAAAGTCTAGCATATTATTAGTTAATCCCAAAATGGGATATTTAGATTCATCATACTGATAAAGAGGATGAAGATCATACATAAATAAAATAATTTATAATTCAGAGGCAACACATAAATTTGTAACAGTAGAAAGAGGCATACCATTAGCTGAAATAGACCCCAGGAAACAACAAAATCCTTCTGCTTATCAGTTAATTTGTTTTCCGTGATATAAATTTTTAGAGGTACGCAAGCTTCAGTTATCAGATAAAAAGTACCATTCATCTGAAACAGAAACTCAAAATGATGATCTGTGTAAGTCGGACATTATCAGTGCTGGTGGCTCTACTATGATTTTCGAATTAACAAACATGGAGTGCTGTAATGAGATCTTCAAGATATGTCATTCTTCATCAAATGAATCTTATATACACTACAAAATAAACGAAGAGTTTGAAGTCTTGAAAAAGAAGTTTGATAACTGAAAGTTTAACAAAGTCCCAACAAAAAAGAAAAAGATCGAGAGACGGATGTACCATACAACCAATAATTTTATAGGAAATTCGAACCTCAATGCTATCCAAATAAGCAAGAACATTTGGATGCCGGAGAGTCTTCAGTTTACGTGCTTGGGCTTTTAGCACTAATCCCGGACCACAGTCCGATACCGTTGCCCAGAAACAGGTAGCAAGTTCGGACGGTTCAGCCTGCAATAATGCTGACCTATTTATCAATAAGACTTGAAAATTAAATTTTAGACGATTTTCATTTCACACAACCAAAATTCGTGTAGCATTCACTAATTGAAGTTACCTTTTTAAAGCTTTTTCCGATGAATATACCATCAAAATTATAGAAACTGTTAGCAGGTAGCTCATACGGAAATACACTTTTTGGATCGCGTGAGAAAAATGATGACAACACGGATGTCATATATTTTTCCTGGAAAATACGACAGATAAGTACAAAAGGCTCTTATTAATAATGATCATTTTAGAACTATGCTAACCAGCACACAACGGTTAGCATAATTCACTGGAATTATGATTAAACGATTCAACGAACAGAATGACCCGGCAGATTTCTTGGATTCCTTAGATTTCCCTCTATCTCTTCTCATACCATTCACTACCACTTGAAGACAGAACCACAGTTTGCAATAGAGATTTAATGAAGGTTTATAACTAATAATGTAAGATGACAAAAGTCTCGCAGAGCCACAATTCCCAACATCAACAAACAACAAGGCAATCCGGAATTATTTGGCAAAATGACCCCATGCCCAATGAAGAAACTACACATTTACCAGTTGTATTGTTGACCACTATTCCTCAGCTGTTCTTTCATTTTTCCTTGCATTCTCCTATCACTCATGGATGTTTCCTAAGTCAGCATCGGTCCCTACCGGAAAAAGACCTGAATGATTCATGTCAATCAATCTTGAGTCTGTCTTTTCTAAATTACTCTTCAGGTTCGAGTCATCTGTAATTGTCCCTGAAAATACACTCGCTTTGCAATCGCGGGTAGACTATTTGTTGTTTGTTTTATTTGACGATATTCCGTCTGAAAAGTAGTATAGGAATGAAACATTCCAGAATACAATGTCGCCTCATCTCCCAGTTCTGAACTCCATCCTTACCGGTCCATAACACGATACACATTCCTCCGTGGTAAGGTTAATTGGTTCAAATTTGAAATTTTAACTAATCCATTGAACTTTATTTTGAATTAATAAGGTTTTTAGACAACTTTATTGTATTTTGGAAATGCTTATGACTGGCTAATAAATGATAACTATTGGGATGACAACCGTTGATTAAGAAAGTTTATTTGTAAACTGATAATCAAATAAGGGAAGCAGAGATTGTTGAGCTGTCCATCCATTTTGCTCATCTTCAGAGGGAAATCAAAACTGTAGAGGTTTTTTGGAATCGAGTTAAACTTGTCTCAATCTCTCATCATTTGGTGGTGTTCGAACGGACAATACTTCGGATACGAAATTGCGTGCTTTGGGAGAATCAGGACGTTCTACAATAATGCTTACATTTCTTGATGACAAACCCTGAAAAAAACCATATTCTTATTAATTTTGTAGTGAAATTTCTAAAATGTCATCGATAGCTTATCATTCCATACTGTTACTTTTCTTTCATTTTTATTTATTAGTTGTTTATTTATTAATTCCTCAGTTACCTGAACAATAATCTTCCTTGCCATCTCTTTGTCATTAATGACTGTCCCATCAACTTGCAAAATTCGATCCCCAACCATCAGACATTCAGCACTCAACGACTCATTCGTCACACGTGTCACATAAACGTGTCCTTCTTTACTATTTTTCACTTGCTGAAAAGTAGCTTTTAGAGAGTGTAGAGAGTGGAAGGGTTTCAATATGATAGTAATTTAGAAAACACATATCATCTTCTCTTCCTTCTTTCACTGACATTCTGAAGCATTTCGTTCATCAAAGCTCCCATTCATATTTCGCGTCAATCCTACCATTCAAATGAACATGAGGATACGTATTCCTAGTTCTCCACATGGTATCACACGTATTACCCTCTCATACCTCTCATACCTCTCATTCTGTTGACACCCGGCAGTTGCAAAACTCTGCGACTTCGGCACGATTCGATCTTACAGTCTTCAGTTCCCTAGACCAACGTGTTGTCCATCGCACCACGGGACTACGATTAAATGTTTATAGATGTTGTGAATTATCGTAAACCGTTTATCAAGTTGAACAGGAACATGGCAGATTGATAAGAGATATTGCAGTGAGCCATGCGGTTTGGTACGGAGACGAGGATTCAGAGGTTCGCTTCCTGCCGGTCTCATCACATGTCTTAATCTTTGGGCTTAAATCCGACTCAAACTGCAGGCTGAAGCACTTTCTGTATCACTATTATGGGACTGCACTCAAAGAGATTGGATTTCCTACAATTCTTCAAAAATATTTCTTATCATTTTGTAGGCATTTCCAAAGCGCTCATTGGTTACTTGGTCAAAATCAATAGCTGAAGCATGTGATATCACAATAATAATGCAGTAACAGTCGTTGAGAAAAACAACAGCAAACTAACCAAACCAACTCTCGTACCCGTTTTATGCTGCATCATTTTCACCTTCAAATACAGAAAACCATCGCGTTTTGTGATTCGTTTATCATCAACACATTGCTCATGCTTAATTTCCTCGCCACGTTTTTTATCACGACTTATTGTCATTCTAAACTTTATTTTTTTGATGAGAAAAAGTTCTCGTCATTTACAAAGTGCTCATGGGAAATGGGAAATCTATTCAAGAAATCTGTACTTCTCCGTAATCAGTTTCAACTCTCTTATTATAGCAAAGTTTGGTAATATCTTCGTAGTTCGTTATTCCTTAGGACGAAAGGATCCGGGTGGGAAAAGGATAGATAACCTTCCCATGTTGGTTACCACTAATATGTCGTTAATTTCGGTTTTCTGCGTCTTTTCAACTCTTCATTACTTTTGTTTCTCTTTTTTCCATATCCAAAAGATTAATCACTATTACTCCTATTTCATCCTCGAGTTTAATTCAATTCCATTCTTCAATATTTTAAGGAGCAAGTGTAGGTTGTAGTTCAAAATTTCGAAACGGTTGGAAAATTCCCATTGCCTTGTAATGTGATGTTTTTGCTGAATTCGAGCGAATGCATTCCGATCGGTTACAGAACAGTCATTAACTGCTAAAATTTTATCGCCAACATTGATTTGACCCTCTAATGCACCACTTCGTTGTACGAATGTTACAGTGAGCTGGAATGGAAGTGCAGCTTAGATGATGTGGAAATTGTCAGACAGCTTTCCTTCGGAGTAATGATAGTGTGGTTACAACGAAAGGTTACCCTTCCCTAATTTACCTTTGTCAGATCAAGCTTGATCATTTACACTTTTCACAAACATCGTCTCCTGAACGTTATTTTTAGGCTTTTTAAGCTAGCAATGTTTAATAAAGCGAAAGAAATTTAGCGAGCCTTTTTCTCCTTATTAATTTTAATTTGCAAGCTTGGAATTAACAGTTAACACATCCACTTCCATATTTTACCGCTTATTTAATGCAACACTTGAAACTAGCCAAGTTCACAACTTTGGTCGGTCCTTTCAGTCTTTCTTGAACAGATCATTAAATATAAAACAGGAGTGAATAAGACGGATGTAGGGATGATTATATAACGGAATGGAAAAGGAAAAAATGTGATCATTCCGTTCTTGTCGTTCTGCTTTCACTCCATCCGTCCTCTACTGCCCCATTTCTTCTCTCACACCTTGTGGTGATTCATTATTTCTCTGTTCATTCATTTTTCAACAAAGTTCCATTTATCCATTCCTAACTAATTTTCAACAGCTGTTAATATATTATTGGAATTTATTGATAGTGAATAGTTTGGTACTGTGTATTGGATTGTGAGGAATAAACTTACATCCTTAGTGTATGATATACCAGGCAGTTCACCAGCATCAATGTTGACGCGTAGATGGTGCAATTCCTCCCTGTCAGCAACCATCCTCCTCTCTCCATGTGCAACCTCAACAATGGTTCGTATCTCACACATTCCTCATTATTATTCCATGCAAATATTTCCTACTTGATCTTTCTTGCGATTTCATCATCGATCAAAGATGACCTCAATATGTATTATCTTGCTATTCTTTGAGTAATTTCTACCTTCCCTAAGAAGTACGCATTCCATTTATGTTTAAGACAAGTGGAAGCTATGTGAAAAGTTCGATCTCTTCGGTGACAGTCGTGATTGAATGAATTGATGTGAACTAGGTAATTCCACGCTTTCGCTTTTAGATTTTTTTGTCGAATGTCATTAGTATCTCCTATTATAGCATCTAATTACTTTATGCTTCAGATTCAAGTTCCATTTTATAGGATGAATATCAGAATTTGTACCATTGGAGCTTTAGCTGTTGGCTCCATATTCATTATTATTGGTATTATTTCTCTAACTATCATTCCACTGACGATAAATAAGGAAGTTATCAAGGTTTGTCCAGAGTCATTCTATATTCGTTAACATTAATCAGCTAGCTATAAATAAATATTTGAGTGGGCAGATATGATACTTGCTTCATTATCGCTATTGTTTGTAATGTTTGTCCACATCACTGCTGTTGCTAGACTGGTTTCTAAAATCAGTAGTCTAATAAGAACAATACTGGGATCTATTTTCTCCTTTACATCGGTTTCTATAGTAATACCATTAGTGGCATGTGAAGTACGATGTTACAGCTTTCAGCACAGGAATGGATTGAATTTAAAACTATATTTATGATTTTTCAAAATAAATTCGATTGCAAATAACTTCTCATACTTGCTCACAAGGAAGTAAAAGTTCTTGTTGTTTCGGCATCTTCGACCATACTTTCAGAGTGAACATTTGGGTTTCGATGAGAATGGTACTTATAACATAATGACCCAACGCTGGATTGAGCAGAATTATTCAATGAAACTCAAAATATGGACCGTTTCTATAACAAATCCAGATGATGTCATTCAACATGGGAGCTATCCTGCGCTTGTTGAAAAAGGACCATATGTTTATACGTTAGTTACTTGTCCTCTCCACGACATCCTTGTCGTGAGGAAGAAGCTTGCATGCCTTAATCAATTTGCAAGTTATGCTGGCGATGGTAGAGTCACTGATACCAGATAGATCTCTACCGAAGGATCAGACAAAGTGTGTCCGAGCAGGATGGGCTCGCCAGCATCCCGGTAACCACTATAGGAATAGGACAACTAATTCTACACTCTGGCGGATGGTATCGTGGAAGCTGGTTCTCGACGGCAACAAAGTGCTTTTGTTGAAACTGGAATAACTGGCACAGGTGATTGGCTAGGATGGAGTCCTCCACTTGTATCGCCGGTAGTTTTTAGTCTAGTGTTCGGAAACTCGACTTGGAATATTTGAGAGCAGTGTAGCGTCGGAGTGCCAGTAAGATTGCAAACAGAACTGATCCCTGTGATTGACTCCATCCGTTTCATAGTAATTTTGGATAACGAAGAATTTGCACTTTTAGAGTTATACGAAAGATTGTATATTGATAAGTAAATAGAATTATGTGATGGTAGATTAGAAACATGAGGTTAAACCGTTACAGTGGGCACTTTGTCTGTCACCGTAACCAGTTATCGTTACAGTGAGCACTTTGTCTATTACCATAACCAGTTACTGTTACAGCGGGCACTTTGTCACCATAACCAGTTACCGTTACAGTGGACACTTTGTCACCGTAAACAGTTACCGTTATAGTGGGCACTTTGTCTATCACCTTGGCAATTTACACAATGAAATGATAAGGAAGGCTCACAAGTACAATGGAGCTTTGTTCATTACTGTAGATTGACATCCCACGGTCCATGGTGATTTGGACTGTGAGATGTACATTACCACTCACTACAAATTATACAAATATAATCAATACATCAGGGAAACAACTATGTGGATTGTTTTATCAGAATATTGGACAAAAAACTTCCTTCGGTCTTTTCCCATAAATGGGTCCCATTTAACCTTCTAAGGCTATCCATCTAATGACATGACAGAACGTACATCCTGGGGACTTCACTGTCACGTCTTAACTTGCTGGGCCTGACAGACGAACCTTCAGAATAAAAGGAAGGGCTAGTTTCCCGCATGCTTTGCCTCACCAAAAAAATCCACTGCACAGGCCACAGGCTTGAAGGATACATCAGCTTCTTTGCTTTGTGATTGGCGCTGCAGCAGCAAGTCATCTGGTTACTTCCATTAGCGGGTTTGGATAAATGAATCGATAAGAAAGTTTGTGTATTTGTATATAGGCGTGAAGTACTGTGAGTTGTTGAAATGACGTCATTTACAGAGAATATCGGAAGAGAGTGAAGGTGGATTTCATGCGAAATAATACTCGTGTATTGTTTCGTAATCGACGTTATTACATCTACAACGAAAAGGAGTCATGCTCGAACTGTAGTCTGAATGATCCGGTAACCATACCAAATGTTATGTTCCAGGTAGGTGCTGTTTTCAATGTCTTTCTTCAGTGTAGTTATGATGAACATCTGCTTCGACGTTATCCTGGAAAAAGTATGGAGTGAACAAGGATCAAAAGGATCAGGATACTGCTGTTATTCGTTATGCATCTGTAATGAAATGATGTGAGGATTATGAGTGGGATTATTAAAGTTGTTCAATACTGAATGTATGATACTTAAAGTTATTGAGATTGAAACGCGCATCTAGTGCAGCCATTAATGATCTCTCTGTGAATACATTACCGGTTTTTTACATATACCTCAAGATTGTTGGCTGTTGCAAATTCAACTTCAACTTTTAGTATATAGTTAATATTGCCGCTGAAAGTGGTTTTTTGGTGAAGGAACTGATCAGAATTGCTCTTCGTCGTTTCAAACGTGAAACACCATTTATCCGTGTCACTGTGAACCAGGTGTGATTTGCTGTTATTCATCAATTTCCTTCTAGTATGAGTCAAGTTGTATTTAGGCAGGTTAATTGGAGGAGAACATTTCCTTCGGATTATTGGTGTTACGGATAAATGAGCCTGTATGAAAAAAAAAAAAGAAAAACAGCTGCAGATAAAATTATTGTTACTTCATGAAAAGAGAAATTAGAGCTTTGGAGGCCAGATTTGGTCAAATTGAATTCAATAAAAAAGTGCAAATTTGGATGAAATTAGTTCTTTCATTTTTTAGATGCTTTTTGAAGGATATGAAGACCCGCTGATCGGATGGATATGTAATAGAAACTTGACTCGTCCTCTGTGTGCTATTGCAGGGTTTCCAATGCGCATGAAATTCTTGGTAAATTTTTAAAGTTATTCGAAGGAGATAGGAATGTTAAAGGTCTTTTTTAGTGATCACCTTTCATTTTAATAAAGTTTGGCCCAGTTCCTTCTAGCTGTGGTTGTAAATGCAAACAAAAACTTTCTGTTGCGTGAATACATTTATTGTGGTATACGGGAACATGAAATGAGGAGGTTTGGTAACTCAACCGCAACAATTCCATAATAAGATAATTGGAATCATTAATATTTGTTGAATGAATAGTTCATTCTTGTTTTTTCTTAGGAATTTGAGTAGGAGAGATTTTTGGTAATTACATTTTTGAAAAAGGTTCAAAAAGTTTTGAAATCTTCGACAGATGTCTCTTTTCTAGGAAAATGGTACAGATTATGGTGAATATTTGATTGATACGGGATTGGAAGATACCGGCAAAATTGGTCGGGTGTACGAATGGAATGGACGAAATGAAACACCGTGGTGGAGTACTGCACAGGCACGGAAAATCAATGGAACAGATGGGGAGCTGTTTTCACCATTCTTATCAATATCCGATGATTTGCCTATTTTTCTTGGAGATTTGGGCAGGTGAGTTCTTTGATAAATGTTTTTACTTTCATACTGATTAAGCAGAAATGATTTTATAACTTTCAAAATGTTCACCTGGGACAGTACTTTCCATGTTCCAAATATTTGCATTTCTCCAAAGAGGAAGCAGAAGTCAGTAGAATGCCACAAACGACTGTCTGAAATACGCCAAAATAGTTACATTTTGATTTATTACATTTTGTTGTTGATGGTTCAAATTTTTAGAAAAATACGTGTCTTTTAAGTGAAATGGGTGCTTTGTTCAGCTACTTTCTAAGAAAACCCGTGTTTTTCATATGGGTATTTTCCGATTCCTTTCTTTTTTATTCCTTAATTGGCAGGTGAAAAGATCTTATATTTCTGAAGTGATTAATCTAGAATATTTTCTCGCACTTTGATTCGCTCAGCGTCCCTCTCGCAAGTGAAACTGTTGGTTTGAATGCAGAATTCTTTAGCATTATCTCGTTGTTAATTACTTTTTTCAGGAGTTTTTCCTTCACTTCGAAACGTTGAAGAAATTTTTAAAATATGTAATTTGTTTTACGTTTTACTTTCCATATTATGGTAGCTGAATGGATTATTTTGAATGGTTAGTTATTCTTGAGAAGATTTCAAGATTAATCACTTATCAAAATAATCCATTCAATTACCATGATATGATAGGTAAAGTATGGTATCTCTCTTGGCTATAAAACTATTGGTTGGCTGCTAATTGGACATTTTGTTCTTCATCTCAATTTTTTGTTTAGAGTAAATTACACTTTGTCTTTACGATTTAGAGTAAATTACACTTTGAAAAGTGCTAGTGAGTATATGCGAATTAGAAGAAATTGAATCGTTATAGGTTAGGAATAGGGCAACATTATTACTTTGTTTATAAAATCCAAAAATCAGTTTAATAGGAAAAAAAATGAAGTGTTTCCGCTATCACTAAAGCAAGCAGAAAGATGTGGCTTATGAGTAATTATGGAGGCTTTCGTAACAGAGATCTGAATACCGATTTAATAAAGAATTGACAACTTTTTGTGAAGTTTCAAAGTGCCATCAGTTAACCTTATAAAGAAAATATAGAGAATTGGAATATTAATGAGAGATCGGTCTGAACATTATGGTGTGATGTCTTAGAGACTCTAAGTAAATGTGAATCAGTCTATGAATTTATATATTTCCTAATTGGATTATTTTGTACTTATCTTTTATGTTGTACTCATTCTAATTCAAAATGATTACCGCATTGAGCACCCAATCAGTTACTATGGGTAAGTACAAAAAAAGTTTCCTTCCTTGCTAAAACATGCTTACAGTGTGTAAAAATATGTTGAACTGGTTGTGTAAAAGAATGGTAGGAATACTCTCTTGCTGAAACTTGAGAAATATGGGAGGAAAGATTTAATTGGATCAGCACCGTCAAATATCATTAGGTGGAGAACGGTAGTTCCTCTTTCAATGGTAGTCAAAACCAATTATGAATATTTTTCATTGGAGGTCTTTTTTCTTTTCTTTTTTTTTTTTTTACTTCGGAGTTCTTACTTCTGTAACAGAACATAAGATATTCTATTTATTTGTGATGCAGGACTTAACTGGTCGTTTGATTTAGGTATCTATCTGTTGAGATATTTCTAAATGCTGCCGTTACATCGAATATGTTTAAACCTATCGTAAGTTTACGTATTCTCCTATTAGCAGATTTTCTTGAATTTTGCATGCCTCCAATTCTGAAAAATTGAAAAACCGATTACTGATTCCTGATTTCCGAAGAAATGCATATTTTCCCCGACTTCCAGAGAAATATGCATATTTTCTTAACCCGAGGTTTTCTGAAATACATGTTGATGACACCTACAACATATTATTATTGATCATAACTCGATTTGGATAGCAAAGAATCTCTTATTCGGAGAAATTGCAAATCTTGAACTTTAGTGTGGTGCAACACTGACTTGTTTTACTTGGAGGAGTCTGAAAAGTAAAGGGTTTCCTGTTCCCTACCTTCTACAAGAAAATTTTTCTATATTTCCTTCTGAGTTTTAATTTTCTCACTTTTACTTAGGGATAAAAAAGTGGAATTGTTGCCATTGATATCAACTGTGAAAAAACATTTCTGATTTGTAATTTCCCGATAGTATCAGCACTTAATTCGGAATTCGGTTTCTTTGACTTTCAGATTCCAAACATGAATTTTCTCTTCATCTTTCACCGTTCTTGTACCAAGTTTCCTTCAGCAGCTAAAAAGTTTCAACGACAAGTGCTTATTTTGGATGCTTCATGGGAACGTGAAATGACGTTTTCAAAATGATTTTTTTCAAAATCTACTTTTTTGTGCTCAGGATACATTTACAGTATTTTTTTTTCATATACCATATGTCAACTCATTTGTCCGACAAGAAAATCTAACATATTGCCTAAAACTTTCCAGAAAAAGAAGACAAACTTCCCAGGTAAGGATATTAAACTAAGCTTCTTTTCAGGCGTAGATACTGAGGTCTTGCTTGCAAAATAGTTCATAAAATGTAGCAGTTGGGAAATAAGTGACTAATCATGAAACAAGGAGTCTTCTGCCTCTTTCCTTGGCGGGTACAAGTGCAACAGCTCCTTCCTTAACTTTTAGCTTTATCCTTGACAAGATATTGCAAAGGGCAAACTGATACTAAAAAAAGTTCAAAATACACGATTTTTGGGAATCAATGACAAATTCTGCAGAAATCATTGCGGCTGTTTTTCTTCGTGGTACCAATTGGAGTGGCATATTTAAAACAAGCTCTGAGAGGGACTCGTTCCTTTCCGCCTTTTTGGCGGAAATACGCATCATGAGTTCCTAGTCAATAAAGTGCATATTTAGAAGGGCAAAGTTAAAATGACCATTACGGATAATGAATGGATAGAAAGTGAGATTGAGGAGAGTGCTGGAGAGAAGGTACTAAAGACTTCAAAAATCATTCATTCTTCGAGTATAACACTTTGTACTGTCTAACTAATTCACCGGTGAGTGGGAGGAGGGAAGAGCCTTCGTAAATCATTCAAAATTTCGAATTTGATGTCTATCCCTTTTAACTTAGTTGGTGAGCGACCAATTGCGTCTTTTAATCGTTGCAAATGACTTTTTAGCCGTGAAAGGTTTCTCATTAGACTAGAAAGAGGGGAAGTATGTCTTATGAGGGTTGACCGGTGGTCAGGTGTGTGTCGCTCATTCTGCATTGTTTATTCAGTAAAGAAGAGTGTCGATTTTCGAGGTGGACAGCGGATATTAAGCTCACTTTCCTATGCGCACCACATGCATTGCACAACAATTCTTATTTGTGGGCCTTATATAGCGCTCCCGTGGCCTAATGGATAAGGCGTTGGTCTCCTAAGCCAGCAACAGGGAGTCAACCAACGATGGGGGTTCAAGTCCCCCCGGGAGCCCAACGTTTTTTCCTCCAAATACTGACAATAACATTTAAAATTATCTTACAGAGCAAACGAATTCGCTCCATTTCGCTCTGTACCGATTAAGGTAAAAATGCGCTCCATGTAGGACAGAAGAATAAGTGGATATGCAGCATCACTGAGATCAAGATTTAATAATTATGAATTTTGGTTTTAAAAAATTTGCAAATCTATGGTAGTTCGTAGAATTCCCCCTTCTTTTAATTTTGGATCCTTGCGCCCTGTTTGTAGCTAGTTTTAATGGCAATTCAGTCAGACATTGGCATCAAAAAGTTCTAGAACTTAATTTATGAGACAGAAATAGAGGGATTTGTATTACCATTAATTGAAATCCTTATTGTAATAACGTTTTTTTTTCTTTGGTTTATTTATCTTTGTTTGGTCTTTTCAGGAATTTGAAATAGACCTTTATGGTTTTCCACTTGAGAAATGACCTATTTTCCAAACTAAAAAAGGTAGAAATAACTAAACAGAAATAAAGAAAAAATATGAAAGCAAGATTGTTATTGTCAGTCTTGCCTTAAAGGACAGTGTGACTTTATCCAGTTTTTACTGATCTTTATGATTTCAACTTGTTAGTTTCTCTTCCAACATACTTTTAAGGACCTGTTCCTTTTCCAATTTCTATGTTACATTAATATTTCACTGCTCTAATTCCTATTATTTGAATGCAGGCTTAAATTTTAGTATTGAATTCAGTTTTTTATTTGGTAGAAATAGACCTTTATGGTTTTCCACTTGAGAAATGACCTATTTTCCAAACTAAAAAAGGTAGAAAATAAGTTTTTTATTTGGTAGAGAAGCAGTAATCAAAGAAATTTGTTGGAATTTGTTGTCAAGAAATTTGTTGGTATTTGAAAATGAAGGGCATATAATACGCTTAATTCCAGATCAGTTTACTTACATTACGACAAATCAGTGACATATGGGCGAATACCATCGTATCGCTTCGTGATTCCTTCGAAAGTTTACGATCCGTTTTTGCCAGAAAATAAAGGATTCTGTAGTCAAGAAACACCACGCTATTTCGACAGTGATGTACAACCTCGTCAGTTTCCTGTTCCAAATTAAAATTCCTCAACTAAAAAAAGTAGACTGATTCCAATTAAGCAACAAGAAGGAAAATTTAAATCTAGATGTTTGAAATGAAGCTAACTCTTCAGAGATTGGATCCATGAACTCTGGGCTTCATCCTGTTAAACTCATTTTCTCTATTTGCTGATATAACACTGATTTTCCGGCTTTTTTAGGAGGATGCCTACCTGCTGGTATGTTTGATATTGGTCGCACAAAATTGGGATCCCCCCATATCTATCTCTCCGGTGTTCATTTTTACAACTCACCTCCACAAGTTTATCAAAATTTCACTGGTTTCCAGCGTCCAGATAGCAGCGATGCAACATATATTGACATTGAACCAGTTAGTTTAATTCTTGAAGGCTTATATATCTGGTTCGAATAGATGTTCGAATTTCTGTTTTAAATACTTTTGGAAAAAAAAAATTTATATGTAAATGAAAAACGATTTTAACCGTCAGAAATTCCAGCGAAAGTTATGATTTAAGTTTTTAACATAAAAATTTTTAGCTGTTGACTGGTAAATTTCATGACGTCAAAATTGAAATTTCACTGATTTCAGTATACGGGCGTTGTCGTGAATGCTTTTGCAGCTTCTCAAATAAATATTGGAATGATAAGTGGCAATTTATAGTTCGTTTTCTCTTCCTTTTTTTTTTTTTTCCATGTCATCATGTCATTCTTGGCACCCAGCAATAGCCATTTGAATTGCTGGTGGTTGGTGTCGTTTCCCAAAAAATAATTTGAAGCGTTTATGATAGTTTTGTCATCAACGAGAGTTACATTACACTGGCTTTTCTGGCAGTTTTAATTCTGTTACTAATAGTAACGCAACATTAATGTAAAAAACGGTGAATTGGCGTAAACTGGAAAAATTAAGAGCGAATTCAAACTACGGCATGCGACTTTTCGAACAGGAATGAATATCTTTAACACTTTGCTTGATTTTATTTAATTTTCCGAACGTTGAAGAAATGCTTTCGAGAATTCTTATAGCATGCTTGGTAAAATGCCGAACATGATTGTACCTGTACTATGGATGAATGAATTGATAAACGTGGATGAACAAACAAAAAAGGATCTCGAAACGGTCGTGCTCATGCCACGAGGGGTGAATTGTTCTGATCTTAATTTACTGATTTGTCAGAAACGCTGACATTTTAACTAGTACATGGGTTGTATGAATGGTTCGACGACTGGAAGCTTGGGACTTCTCTCTATATATGACCTTGTTTAGCATAAAGCTAAAATTCATAACATATTATCAATAAAAATGCCATATAATTTGTTATTCCATAATTGTACTTCAGGCACGCATTCTTGGTATTTCGCTGGTGGGTGCTGGTTTGCTTCTTTGGATAGTTTTCCTGATAATCTCGTTGAGAAATATTTACTTGGGGGTAAGTTTGTTTTTTTTTTTTTTTGGTGGCAAATATCTGTTAATCTTGCAGAACTTTGTCAGTTTTTAGAAGCGTAGTATTGTGGTTCAAAACATTTTTTTGAAAAATGTTTACTCTCAAGAGGATAATGTTTTGTTGAAATTCAAATGATTTTAGTGACAGTGGAACTTTTC